ATCTTATCTATAATAATAATAATAACAAAATAAAAATAATAAAATAATAGAAATTCTTTTTGTCTTCATCTATTTATCTTATTTAATCTTATCTCATCTTATCTTATCTTATCTTATCTTATCTTATCTTATCTATTATATTTGAACGTCTTTCTGTTTCTGTATTCTGTAAGATGATATATGATAACCTCCTGAGGCGAAAAAATAAAAAATAAAATAAATGAAAAAACTTCTTACAAAGAACAAAAGAGATCAGAAAACTTAATAATACAAAATCCTTCAGGCATTTTAACATCTAACAAATGACAATCGGACATTTTTATTATATTTTCTAAATTTCTACACACGATCGGGGCATAAGTTTAGTTAAGGTTAAAATAATGATAACAACAAAAGAGAACTGTACAAAGTTAACCAGAAAACATTATAATAATTATCGTTAATTTTCATTTTTAATGGTAAATGTTTTTAAGGATTTAACATTTTTTATTATATATTTATAACACTGTTATTTTGGTTCGTAGTGTTTTAAAGTTTTTGGATAGAAATTTTCTCTTTATCGAGAAGGTTCTCGCCTTTTTAGATTTAATTTTGTCCCAAGCTTTCGCGAAGAGAAAATACACATGAACCAATCAAAACTTTATAGCACATGTAATGTGCTATAATGTACAGCTAATTTAACTTTGTAGCACGCTTATTATAAAATTCAGCATGAAGTGAGTAAGTACTATGAAGAATTAGATTAGTTTTAAGAATCAGTTTTAAGAATTACCAATTACAAAATCTTTAGTGTCAATTCCTGATAAAAAGTAGCTTAGGGCTTAGGCTCCGGGGCAGAAAAAATCGAACAAAATAACGATTGCTTAAAATGATTGTTTTGGTTTGTTTTCTGAAAATGTTTGAGTCCGTAACATTTTGCCTAGTACACTTTCGCCTAGCACTCATTCGCCTTGTACTCATTCGCCTATAAGTACACATTTGCCTAGTACACATTCGCCAAGTACACATTCGCCTTGTACACATTCGCCTAGTACACATTCGTTTAGTACACATTCGTATGTATAACATTTTGCCTGTTTGACAGTCTGCCTGTATAACATTTTGCCTATAAACATTTGAGTGTATTTTTCGCCTATATAACATTTTTATAATGTTTTACTGTTTTTTTGTTGTCAAATTCTTTGACCAGATCAAATTTGTGAACAGGTTTTCAATTATATTCTGAAAACATAATATCACATCATATTTGTCTGCATAGAATGATAGAATACACAAATTTACTTGGCTGTCCTGCTCAACTCATTTCCAATTTGTTGTATGTACTCCTGGCTCAAATCCTTCAACAAAAACTTGATCCGTTCCACGGCTTGTAAGAGATCTCTGTTTTGTAGTCTTCTATAAAGCAACTCCATGAGATTGTTGTCTTTGTGCCTCCATTTCCAACATTTAAATAGTTGTTTTTTATCAATAATGGAATGCTTTCCTCTTTAAGATAGTCCAGCTTTGGTAAGGATGCCATATTTTAAAGAGAAAATATGCGACTGAGTTTGCAGAATTTTCAAATCAGTTTCGCGGGTTTTCCTGTTTCAAAGTTTGCGAGTGTTTTAAGAAAATCATGGTTTAGGCGAAAAATACACTTATATGTTTTATAGGCAAACTGTTATATGGACAAAATGTTATGCAGGCAAACTGTTATACAGGCAAAATGTTATTTACGCAAAATGTTATATAGGCAAAATGTTATGCAGGCAAACTGTACTAGGCGAATGAGTAAAAGGCGAATAAGTACTAGGCGAATGAGTACTAGTCGAATGAGTACTAGGCGAATGAGTACTAGGCGAATGAGTACAAGGCGAAGGATTACTAGGCGAATGAATATTAGGCGAATGAGTACTAGGCGAATGAGTACTAGGCGAATGAGTACTAGGCGAATGAGTACAAGGCGAAGGATTACTAGGCAAATGAGTACTAGGCGAATGAGTACTAGGCGAAAGTGTACCAGGCAAAATGTTACTGATCCCTTTTCCACTTTCTTTAAACTTATAATCAGTTCTTTTCGTTAAGATTTAACCCATATCTTATTGGTCCCTTTAGTGTAATAACTGAATTTTCCAATGTTCTTTAAACTTTCGTTCCCCTTCAAACGAAAGGAGAAGCACTCGGAAACATTTGAATAAAAATCTAAACTTCAACTATAAAAGCTTAAAAAGAAATTAAAGGAATTGAGTCTTTGCCACAATTTCAATTTTTTGTAATCTCTTGTAATCTTTTGTAATCTTTGCAACCTGATAATGTAAACCTTAGACATTTCAAACTTGGAATATTTGATCTAACAGCATTCAAAGTTTGAAATATTAAATATCTATGACATTGTGTTGCAAAGATATCGAAATTATAAAATAAGAGTTTGTGGCAAAGACTCAATTCTTCAATGAAAATTAAATGCAGTCAGTTCAACTCAAAAATTATTTTAACCCCTCTTCCCCCACACACACACATAAAGGCACAGTTTCCTTGTAACGGAATTATCTCCCGTTTGTTTAGTTTCCAGCAATGTAATCATGTTTTGTGTTTCGAGAAGTTATACCTGCAACGTTTTAAATCGGATTCTTTAAAGCAGGAATTCGATTCTTTAAGCAAAATCGAATAGACAGAAATATATCTTTTTATTAACCCCCTTGCACACAATAACATTCCTTTTTTAATACACATTTTAAGTTTACAACTAGAACTCACTACTCTACAACACAACATTAATGTTATAAAGTTGTTTATTAACTGACTCTTAATTATAAATCAGCTGTGTAAGGATGTATAAAAAAACGTTTCTTTCTAGATAAGGTAACTTATAGCGTTGTTTCCGGCGTAAAAAATAAGGTTTTTAAAAACATTTCAATTTTTCTGAAAACATTCATTTATAAGAGTAAAAACTTATGTTTTCTAATTCCTTTTCAACCTGATGGTGTTAACCTTTGATATTTCAAACTTAGATTATTTGATTTGACAGAATTCATAGTTTAAAATATCTAAGGTCTATAGTATTGGGTTGCAAACAGATCGGGATTAGAAAACCAAAGTTTTTTTTGGCAAAGACTCAATTCCTTTTATTTCGCTTACTTTTTAAATAAGATTTTAAATAAGATTCGGCGCCCTTCATTTTTAAAATGCACCTTTGATCTCAAAAAGTTTTAAATTCATTTTTTGGACAGAAAGTTTATTCATTTAGTAACCTTGTAAAAATAGTTCAGACAGAAGGAACAGATGTCCATTGCACCTGTATTATATTTCTAATTATCTCAAGGAGTTTTGAGTTCTGTAGGTAAAGGAACTGAATTCTTGTTCCAAACTTAGATTTTATAATCCCTACATCTTTGAAACCCGAAGTTGAAGAATTTTGATAACTATGAATTCTGCAAGATCAAATAGTCTAGATTTGAAATTTACACCATCAGGTTGCGAAGTTATAAGGATTAGGAAATTTGAAAGCTCAGCTCCTTTAAGCTTCTTTTTCAGTACTGCTTGATCCATTAAATTTAATGAATAGTGATCATTTTACACCTTTGGACTTTATTTAAAGTGCTTCTGATTTAGTTATTTTTATAAATATTTATGAAAGACTTAATTCTAAAAATATTTCCTTACCTCTGTTGCCTCCAAACGTGTAAACCAGACAAAGAAGAATTAATAAAGCAATTAATCCAACCAATAGTAAATATGGATAGTTACGCCCCTCACATCTAAACAAATCATTTTCATAGACTAAATAAAAATAAAATAAAAAGTTGTACAGAGGGACCTATGAAAATGTGAAAAAGGAAGACGACATGCTGCAGAAATCTATTGTGTATTTATGCTTGATTCTAATAGTCGTCTTCCTTCTCAACAATTTTACAGGTCTCACTGTAGTCAAATTTGAAATTCTTTAAGTTCGAACGTGAAACGTTTAGGACTTAGCCTATAGTAAGCCAGGGGAAGAATCCAATGAATTTGAACTGCCGACCGCCATGGTTCAAATTAGAATCACCGATTCAAATCCTTCTTTAATCTTTACCTGTCAATTTTAACCGGCAGTCGGTTTTTCAGCGACCTAGCTCAAATTCATTAAATTCCATCTCAAATTAAAAAAAAAAACAATTTAGTGTTTTGACGCCGGAGTATAAAAGTTGTATATTTACCCTGGGTGACTCAGTTTGCGTGCCGAGAATGGGAGGCTGGTCAGCATGTCGGAGGAGGAGAAAACACGCCTCAGAGAGTCAGGGATAGAGTTAACCCTTAAAATTTATTTTAGAAAAGAAATCTAGTTAAAGGACAGTAAACAAAATTTCAAGTAACCATCCGTGCAAAGATGGCCCAATTTACAACCATACCCTTTAAAACTTTCTCTGATCAAGTATAAATAAGATATCAATGTTTACAATTTCAAAAACTGATTTTTCAATTTTGGTTTTCTATTCAATTCTCATTTGCGCATTTTTACAGCAGAAAAAGATATAGAAAATATCAGAATTAATCACTTAAACATAGAAAACGACAATTTTGTCCACAATGTTGTTTGTATGGATGGTTGTAAATTTGGCTTCAATACATGCAGGGTCATTTCAAGTTAATCTGACCGCTCCTTTAATTGAACTCGACATACTTTAGTTTCTATTCAAGTGTTTCTATGAAGTGAACCTTGGTACGAATTGAACCTTAAACCAACAAACTTATATTTAAATCGTTTCCTTTTTACCCTTTAGTGGATTAATTCTTAATCCCCAAAATTTAACTTTAAGTGGATAAGCGAAAGCACAACCAAAAGTTGTTGGCCTTTATAGGAATCTTCAATATACTTCAAAGTGATAACTTTTTTAAAACCTGTTCATCGTGCTTCTTTAAATCTTTGACAAGTAAACAGCCATCATTCATTTCATCTGGAAAAATTAAATTAAACTTTTCTAATATTCGATACTCTTTTTTGCCAAAACCCGTATTGTGCTTTCCATTTCATCCTTCATGCATCCAGTATACTGCATCCTGTGTCCTGTGTCCTGTGTCCTGTATCCTGTATGCTGTATCCTGTATCCTGTATCCTGTATCCTGTATCCTGTATCCTGTATCCTATATCCTGTATCCTGTATCCTGTATCCTGTATCCTATATCCTGTATCCTGTATCCTGTGTCCTGTATCCTGTATCCTGTATCCTGTGTCCTGTGTCCTATATCCTTTATCATGCATCCTGTGTGATGTATCCTGTATCCTGTATCCTGTGTCCTGTGTCCTGTATCCTGTATCCTGTATCCTGTATCCTGTATCCTGTATCCTGTATCCTGTATCCTGTATCCTGTATCCTGTTTAATGTATCCTTTATCCTGCACCCTGTATCCTGTATCCTATATCTCAGCATACCTATATTCTGCATTCTGTATTCTGCTTTCTATTTTACCCTGTATCAACATGTAAACAGCATGATGTATAATGTGTATCCTGTATCTAAGTGTAATCAGTATCCTGAATCCTGTATCCTGCTAAGGATGCTGATCTCAGCATATTTTCAAAGGTTAAAGTAAGCTGGCCCCTCGCCAGTGCTTCATTGCTCAGGTTCAAACCTTAACATTTATCAATATTTAACTTTGCGTAAACATATTTGTATAATGGTATCATACTGTGGGATATAAAAACGGCTATTGTGCAATGTACACAGACACATTTTACTTAATAAGATAGTTATCGAGCTACTGGTGAAAATATTAATATTGCTTCATAAAAATATCAAATACACATGGAATGAGATAATTATAATGTCGACTTCCTAGTTTACAGTTTTTATGGTGTGAAACAATATTACGGCGGTTGCCAGAAAACGGTTAAATAATGCGTCGTATCTTTTTTCCTTTTTATTCAATATGAAAAGAAGCTCTCAGGATAGAGTTTGTAACTTTTACCTGATTATTTCATTTATATAAACATAATCTACTCAATAAAAAGAAGTGAGTTTGTGATCAAAGTTTTTAAAAAGTTTTGAGATGTGACACAAAGAAACAATTTTAGCTTTTAACTGGCTAGTTTTAAGTCGCCCCTTTTCATCGTTCTTCATATATTTGAAAGTTTTTTTTATTTGTGAATTTTAAAACTATATACTGTAACTGTTCTTTTTCTATTCTGTTCTTTTCTGTGTTCTATTCTGTTCAATTCTGTTCTATTCTGTTCTATTCTGTTCTATTCTGTTCTATTCTATTCTGTTCTATTCTATTCTGTTATATTCTGTTCTATTCTGTTATATACTGTTCTATTATGTTCTATTCTGTTATATTCTGTTCTATTCTGTTCTTTTCTGTTCTATTCTGTTCTATTCTGTTCTATTCTGTTCTTTTCTGTTCTTTTCTGTATTCTTTTCTGTACTATTCTGTTCTATTCTGTTCTATTCTTCTCTATTCTGTTCTATTCTATTCTGTTCTATTCTGTTCTGTTATGTTCTATTCTGCTATATTCTGTTCTATTCTGTTCTATTCTGTTCTATTCTGTTCTATTCTGTTCTATTCTGTTCTATTCTGTTCTATTCTGTTCTAGTCTGTTCTAGTCTATTCTAGTCTGTTCTAGTCTGTTCTAATCTGTTCTAGTCTGTTCTTGTCTGTTCTAGTCTGTTCTATTCTGTTCTGTTCTCTCCTATTCTGTTCTATTCTGTTCTTTACTGAAAGATAAAAATGACGATTGAGAAATAAAAAATGAAAATGAGGAATTGGAAAGGTAAAAGTGAAAATGAGGGGAAAAATAGGAAAAATGAAAATGAGAAAAAGGAAAGGAAAGGAAAAAGTTAAAATAAGGAAAAAGTGAAAATGAGGAAGGGGACAATATAAAAGTTAAAATAAGAATTGAGATAGGAAAAAGTGAAACGAGGTTGGGGAAAAGAAAAAGTGAAAATGAGGCAGGGGAAGGGGAAAATTTAAATGAGGAAGGGGCAGGGAGAAACTACATATGAAGAAAGGAAAAATAAAAACTGAAATGAAAAAGAAAAAGTGAAAATGAGGAAGGGAAGAGAAAAAGTGAAAATGAGGAAAGAAAAGAAAAAGAGAAAATGAGGAAGGGTAGAGAAAAAGTGAAATGAGGAGAGGGAAAGGATATGTGAAAATGAGGGAAAGAGAAGAAAAAGTAAAAATAAGGGAGGGAAAATGAAAAAGGGAAAATGAGAAAGGGAAAAGGGAAGGGGGAAGGATAAAAGGGAAAGTGATAGGAGGAATAACATTTTAAAGTATAGCAGGAAAGATCGGAAAGATCCTAAAGTGAAAAAGAAATAATTAAACAGGAATAAAACAAAAAACGTTAAAGACGAACAATATACAGGGTCATCCACAAGGATGAGACTTCAGAAACGATTGTACGGAATTAACATAATATGTTGATTTTTTTTCTTTCTTTACCTAATCATTAATGTGTAGAAATAAGCGATTATCAAATTACCTAATCTTTAAAAAGGCCAGAAAAATACTATATTATTGGTGGAATACTAAATGATCTTATAAACGTTATATTTGAGTAACTTAAGGTCGTTTTTACAGTCACATCCGCCGAGAAACCCTGTAGATAGAAGACAATTCTTAGATATACGTACGTCGTGTCGTCTATATAATTCTTTCCTAATGTTAAGGATTTTGTAATTTGTAACTATATTTATTTCTGTAAACTCGATCCGTGCTATGTATATTTACAGATATTTATCATCAACAATTAGATTTACATTTTACAATTACAATAATTTTATAAAATATTGGCGAAAGAGGAGGGTCCGTCCTAGTATGTGATTTTGGGGAGGGGGGGGGGCGTCAAAAGTTCTGGTTGTTACCGACGAAATAAGATGAATTTTTTAATAGGAATTGCATAAGATGCATAAATCTTGTACAGTTATTGAACAGTTTGAATTTTGATTTTTTGAACCTTAAAAACTATAACAAAATAAAAGAATTTGTCTAAAATAGTAAAAAAAAAATTTTAGCCACTGAATTTCTTCAACGCCGTGCATGAGGTTTAACTCGATCTGCACAGCGGATCTGAAAAAATAGTAACAAATTCACAATGTTTTTATTTGACGTGTTGTCAATTTCTAGCAGACAGTTATTTCTTTTTTCTCTTTATTCACCAGCTCTCCCTTTTGAGAATTTTGAGCCATTAAAACTTGGGTGAGTCGACTAAATTTATCTGGACAACAACAACATATTGTTTATATACCATGACGTCATCAAGTCAGCTGTTCATCTTCTGCTAAATTGTGATTCGTGCCACAAATACACGACGAAAAGCCGCTAACTAAACAGGAAACAGGAAAATTCAGATTCTTAATTATATGGTGTTGTAATTGAAGGGAAAGGATGCTGGTATTAGCTAAGTTGCCGCCAATTCGATACTTAAAGTAATTGTTTTTATAGTTGAGAACTTTCATCTGACTGAATCTATAGACTCATCTCTAGACATATTTATCCATATAACTACATATACATACGTGCTATTTTTAAGGCGCCATATCTTTCAATCTATATATTAAAAGTAAATGGGAGTAATACTTCCATAGCATCAGACTGCTGGACTGCTTGAATAATTACTGAATAGCTGCTTCTATTTGTTTTAGGTAATTTCCTAATATACGATTTTTTTTTGGGGGGGGGGGCGGGGGGAGCCAAAAATCGTCTTACTAGGTTGGACCCTATTTGTTTTTTCAGATTAAATCTTTAAGAAGTTGAAATGCCGCGTCCCCAAGAAGACGCCCAGGAGGCGGTCACAGGGGGCGGAGCAGCGTCAGGAGACGGCGGAGCTGCACCTTCAGCTGGAGGCGGGGTGCCCGCCGTTGAGGATCCGGATAAAGTGAAGCCAACCTTATTTATTGGTCTCTTCATAACCAGTCTGCTAGGGCTTGGTAAGTCTTTACTGTAACATTTTTCGTGGTCGTTTTACACACGTACCCACCCAAATGGATGATTTTGAATGTCGACTTTGCGCTCAAACTCAGTTATATTACATTTTAAAATGTTTTATAGGTCTCAAATGAATCTAAATTTCTCCACAATACAGCATTCACAGTTCAAATACCAAACATTGTGGGTCAGTCCGTTTAATTAATCAAAATAAGTTTTTCATGGTTGCAAAATTACTTAACTGGCATTAATTTTTAAAATTTCTTGGATGTGGGTTGGGACAAAACGTTTGTACAGGATAAAGCCGGACTTTTAACCCCC